CCTACCTTATTGGGATCCAGCTTTCTTTTGTCTACAGGAGCAGAGTCCTTAATCACTTCCACAGCATCCTCCCCAAAACACTGGCCATAAAATCCCTGGAAAGGAAACAGAATTGTCCCACAGTGGTTCTAGTCCTTAATGCAATGGTAAATAATCTGTATACTTCTAGGGCAAAGGAGTGAAAATCATGACAATTTCTGGGCTTTGTGCAGTCAGTATACTGCTCCATGAACCACAGCTGGTGAAGGTAAGGCATCTTCTGACAAAGATCAGTGTGAGTTGCTCACACAAATGCAAAAGTTGAAGTAAAACAATCAGAAGGGAACACTGCAATTCTATAACAAAGCTGAAAAGATACAAAACCAATTATCTGCCATACTCAAAATTAAATTATTCAGGATATTACAGGTCTGCCCCTAAGAGAGATTGCCTCAAGAGAATGGATCACTTACATCATTAAGCTTTAAAAGGGAAAGGATATACACACATGAAATCTATAGGACAAATCAGTTTGTTACTGATATTTTATATGGCAATAATACTATTAGAACTGTGTCAGTTCACCGGAAAGTATAACATAATAATTGAGATCATGTTAGCATAATTATTTTTCTTTACCTCTAATCTGTGAGAAATCTCAGGGAGCTTGGTAATTGCAGGCTCCTTATAAACAAATTCCTGTTCATCCAAGTCCCCGAATTTGGATCCATAGAAACCAACACGGAAGTAAGTCCCAAACATTCGTTTTTGACCCTAATTAATAAAATAAAGAGGAAATTTACAAATGCTTATTTTTTATGTGAACATTGTAGTATTTGGATGCCTTTTTTTCACAACTGACATATTAGAAAACCCACTACTCCTACATTTGCCCCATTTCAAAGCCACTTCTATATACCACCAGCACTGATGGATTAGAAGCTCATATACATGAAGGAAAACATACAAACTAAGGGGACATTTAACTGAAATCTAACTTAAAATTTAGACTGATCATGAAGTGGCATTTACAAAACAAAATACTATATTATTTTTAATTCCATTGGATACATGTCACAAAATTAAAATTTTGAAATGAGAATTGACAAGAATTTGAAACTGCTAGACTCAGCAATAAGATTCTTCTGAAGACAGATAAGGGGCAGTATGAGTGCTGAGAATTTAACCAGGCTTTTGTATTTCTTCTGTTTTATAACTGAAAACACTAGTGAATTGACCACAAATTTATTTTTCTTAAACAGATGTGTCCAGTTGGACACATATATGTTCAGCTAAACCAATTTTATATCCATTTCTGCTTTTTTCCTATAGAAAGGACAGAGCCTCTTTTCACTTGCAGGCTGCATAGGTAGACCAAAGCAGATGGAAGTTTAGGTTTGAAAAAAGGAAATGGATCAATGTCACATTATGATGGGTTGACCCTAGCTGGATGCCAGGTACCCACCAAAGCTGGGTGATAGACTATCACCCTGCTCTGCAACTGGACAGGGTAGAGAAAATATAATGAAAGGTCCATGAATTGAGAAAAGAACAGGGAGAGATCACTCTCCAATCACCATAATGGGCAAAACAGACTCAGCTTGGGGAAATTAATTGAATTTATTACCCATCAATATTAGAGCAGGATAATGAGAAGTAAAACAAGTCTTAAAAACACTTTCCCCCAACTCTCCCTCCTTTCCAGGCTCTATCTCCTCCCCACCAGCTGTGCAGAGAGACAGGGAATGGGGGTTATAGTCAGTCCATCACATGTTGTTTCTGTTGCTGATCCCGGAGAGCAGTCCTTCCCCAGCTCCAGCGTGGGGTCCCTCCCATGGGAAACAGCTATTCATTAACTTCTCCAGCATTCCCACAGGCAACAGTTCTTCAAGAACTGCTCTAGCATGGTTCCCCTTCCACAGGAGACCTTCAAGAACAGCCAGGTCTGCACAGGTTCCCCACAGGGTCACAAGTCCTACAAGGAAACCTGCTCTAATGTGGGCTCCTCTCCCCATGGGTCTGCAAGCCCCTGCCAGGAGGCTGCTCCAGCATGGGCTTACCACAGGGCCACAGCCTTCTTTAGAGCATCCACCTGCTCCAGCATGCATCCCCTCCACAGGCTGCAAGTGGATCTCTACACCCCCGTTGACCTCCACAGGCTGCAGGGGAACAGTTCCTTCACCATGGTCTTCACCATCGGCTGCAGGGAAATCTCAGCTCTGGCACCTGAAGCACCTCCTCCCCCTCCTTCTCCAGCAACCTTGGTGTCTGCATAGTTGTTCCTCTCACATGTTCTCACTCCTCTCTTCCCTGAGCACAGTTACATCTTCCCAACAATTTTTTTCCCCTTCTTAAATATGCTATCACAGAGGTGTTACTACATTCTCTTATTGGCTTGGCCTTGGCCAGAGACAAGTTCATCCTGGAGCCACAGCATTGGCTTTGTTGGACATGGGGAAAGCTTCTAGCAGTTTCTCACAGGAGCCACCCTTGTAGCTCTCCCTGACCACTACCAAAACCTGGCCACCCAAACCAGATACACACATGAACAGTTTTATTAATGCCAGTCTAAAAAAGCCAACACATCCCAGCAATGTGTCTTGCTAGCAGTGCCTTATGTCACAAGTACCTTATTAATAATGCTGTCAAAGGCCTTCTGTAGCTTGCTGTGTGTCAGGGTAAGCTTCCTGAAATCTCGATGTGCTTCCAGTATGGGGATGACAATTTTGTACACCTCGTTCACAGTTTCATACAATCCCCCCTTCGGAGAAAAAAAAAAGGGAAAAAAGAAGAAAAGAAAAGAGTCCTCAAGCACTTTGAAAAGTAAGTAGATATCCATTAATGGCCTGGCTGAAAAGGGGATTTATAGGACACATTTGGTAATCTAGTTTTCTAAAAACTAATGACGGTACATGGGTAGTTCTGAACAGCAAACAACAAGCTGGATGTAGGTTAGATCCAGTAAAGCACATGGTTTCTGCTGTAGGGCTTGAAGAGTTAGAACTTCAGGTGAGCAGCTGGAAATGGATTTTTTTAGTATGTATGGTTCAGGGCAACCACAGCTGCATCTGGACCAAAGGAACCCAACTGATACCTTCAGATATGCTAAATCATGCATCCTCTTTAGCACAACAGCAATAGGATGAACTGCGTCAGTATTAACATCATGACTCTTTAGCTGGTAAGATTGTGAGTCTGTTGGCTGCATGCAGTGTAAAAGCATAGGAATAACTCTCATATGCTTTCTAACCTATAGTTTAAACAAGACTTTTTTCTTAAATGTACTGTCCCACGGTAATACCAACCAAAAGTCTCAGTTCATGCTTGAGACAATTGCTTTCTGTTGATGCTGCCTGCAGTCTGCATAGATATATGGATATATGGCTGAGCTATGCTACCTGTAAAGCCTAGTTTATCTGACTGATGGAAACAGAACAGACCCAGCCATAAGATGTGGCCTTTTGTTATTTGAGTGCAGCAGATCTGTGGTGCAGTATGCGCAGGAAAATAAGCTATGGATCTGGCCCAGACAGCCCACTATCCCCACCTGGTGATTTTGGCCCTCACTCACCGTGCTGAAGAGCTCTGCAGCTTGTTCCAGCAACCCTACCAGCCCACTTTCTGAGAAATACCTCCCAGAACATATACCATCTTCATCTGGAGACAAAACGTCATCTGAAACAGCAGATTCCTCCAGCACATTGGATGAAATATTCTAAAATACATCAAAGCACAGAAATCAGAAACCTAGATTAATAGTATGTCATAAAGATCGAGGCAGAAACTGTTTCAACATATTTACACGATATGAAGAAGAATGAGATAATACAAGTGCAGCTGGGGACACATAGTTAAATTTCTTTTAGAAGCAAATGTAGCATTACAAATCTTCATACATGGCAGATCAGGAATGTCGCTAGAAGAATCATAAATATTTTTTTCTTGACTCAGGTTTTAAAGGCAGACAACTCTCAATCTCAAACTGGCCCTTCTCTGTTGTCTGGATTTCCATGGAGCTGCCGTGAGCTCAATCTCCAATGCCACCTCCAATGTGCCCTTCCTGTTGCTGGCATGTGGAGGTGGGAAATTTCAAGCTGCACTCTGGGACCTTCTGCCACCAGCTTGAATAAATTGAACTTTCAAGTTTAGATTTCACTTTTTCAAGCACAAGAGAAGTAGGACACAGACAATATTGCTCTAAAAACTATAGTAACTGAATGCTGCTTCTTGTTTCGCCCTCTGCCATATTACTGTTTGATCCTTCAGAATTTACCCGGTTCCTTGTTAAAGTTATGGATATTACTGTGCATTTAAATAAAACTAGATAAAGTATACAGTGTAAGTAACTCTTTTGAGATTCTAGACCATGAAATAACATGTCTGTTGTTCTTCAGGATTCCTTTGAATAAATCACACTGGTTAGCATGAACATTAAACATTTTATAATACATAACATAATGCATAGAAATACAAATAAATAAACGTCAAAATATGTGTAAATGGGACTAGCATATGTAACTTTCAATAGCAGCAGAAATGCTAAGCTTCGATTTGTAATTAATTAAAAGGAGTTAAATTAGTGTCATAGTGTCTCACTTCAGCAGAAACTGGCAATGACAATCTGTCTGAGTGCAGGATGGATGCCAGCTGGCTAGCTAGCTGAGTCTTTAAAGACAACTTTATAAAATGGCAGAGACACTGAGGGCTGTTACTATTGATCAGATTTCAGATAAAGAATTGGCACCACACATCACTAGCAACATCGGGCTTCTCACCCTGGTTTTTGTGGATGTATTTATTTTTCCATGGGTGAAGTTTACTCCAACCATGCTGCCATTGCGGTGCCTAGTCTGCACATCATGTCACCTCCACTGGAAGGGTGAACACAAACCTCAGGACAGCAGTCACAGGAGTTAAGAATATATCTGAATTTTGGCCAGAGGGAAAACTCTAGCACATTTAGTGCACCCATGCCACATTTTACCTACCAGCCTCACTGAAGATGGCAACTTCAACCAGACTTAGCCTTACTGGCACATATGTAGGACAATTCACAACCCATGGTGCATTTCAATTTCTGGTTTTCCTGTTCTGTAACAGTAGCCACTAAGGACTGTTCTCATGTGGCCTCTGGTGGTTTGGGTCTTTTCCCTTTTTCTTTTGCAGAAAAGAGAAAAGAGTCCAAAGAAGTGATTTATTTATGGAAGTAACAGCAAAGTCACACTCATCAACTACTCCTTCTTCACCTTTAAGCCTGTAATAACTAGTGTTAGGCATGTATTTCCATGTCTTACAATCCATGTAGTCTAGAAGGAGAGAGCCTTCATGATGTACTCCTGGTGCTTTCATGATCTTTTGCGAAGTGGACATGCCTCACCCAACTTTAGCCTTGATCTATCTTTCATATTGAAGAATTTTATATGTGCCTTGTATAATAAAGGCAATACATAAATTACCATGTATTTCATAAGCAATTATTTTGAACTTCACAAGCCTAGTTTTCTTTCTGGAAAACAAACATTTGCATAAACTCAAAGAGCTTTACTGTGATCCCCAGCCCTTATCACCATGTTAAATATGGTCAGGGTAGTCTGCAAACTAGATCCCCAAAACAGCATAGTCGAATTACACTACTGTTGAGCCCTGACTAATTACCCAGTGCCTCAGGGGGTAGACACACACCCTAAATACTTGTCTGTGGTAATATAAATGGCTTTAAAGTCATATGCAATTCATCCTCTCAGTAATTCTGCCTTATCACTTGCAAAGGGGATTTAGTGCAAGCACAAATTAAGCTCAAGGGAAATGCCACTGAAAGTGACCCCATTCTGATTTTGAGGGATAGTTTTGATTGCATAGAGGGAAGCACTAACAGTTTTGTCTGGCACACTATAAGGAAAAGTGTTACTCTACTGACAATCAGTTTTCTGGATGCTAACAGACTCGCTGCAGAAGACCTAGATCAATTGATTTGATCCTATGCTGCCTAATTTTACTCATCTGTAAAAAGCAGACAACACTTCTGCTGATCCAGAATAATATTTTTAGATACATTATTATCATCCTCAATGCCACAACTAAATGTCTATCACTGATATTAGTTAATGTCATATCTGAGTCAAATGAAGAAATGATTACAGAGAGTCAGTGACTGAGATCTGTAACTCCAGGTAAAGCCGAGGCAGTCTGCATAGTGTTTCTCTCTTTTAACAAGGTCTTTGGAATAAGTTCTTCACAGGTGCTACAAAACACAAACCTGTTTGTAAAGAATGAGACCTCTTTTCTTGAAAGCCTATGTAAAAATGCAAGGTGTTACTACAGTTAATTATTGTCATTGAGCAAACCGAAATTCAAAATAATACTGTCAGATAAAGAGTTGTGTAATTGTGTTCTGGTCACTAAGGCGTTTTATTACCTCTCTCCTATGGGTCAACTGTTCATTTGACAAACATGTATTTACGCAAGCATTTTGATGAGAGAGATTGATTTGCTGCTTTTAAACTCCTAAGTTTTTGCTTGCCTTGTGCCTTGTAGAATATACTTAAATTCTCTAAAATAAATGGAAGCATATCCATTCATGGCAATCTGCATAATCTAGGAATGGAAAGAGGAAGTGCATTATGGACAACTGTGTGAGTTCACAAGCACTCAAGGCAGCCTGGGAGCAGGATAACATTGGGAAGGGCACGCAGATTTCACTTAAATCTAAATGGTGATAGTGGGCAACAAGTAGGAACAAAGGAACTAAATAGAAGTGATAAACTGACATTAACGTCTGGAGGTATAAATAACTGATAAGGAATGCAAAATGGCAGAAGTGTAAATCCATGGCCAGAAGGTTAGACAGTAAAAAGAGTATATATGGCTATCTTGATAATAAACAAAATCAAGAATAACACTAGTCCATCAACTGATTGCTGGGGTGGAATTTGCAAATACTAATGCCCAACAAACTGAATTCAACAGAAAATGTGAAGTAGTTCAATTGTGTTCACATTTACTATTTTGAAGGAAAAAACTCCCAGGTGGTATGGTTGTATCAAGGGGTAATGAACACACCAACTACTACTACTACTGTTAGCCATTTCAAAACCACCTTGAGCATAAAATGTGCCCCTCAAGAGTTCAAAAGAGTGAAGCAAAAGGGTATTCAAGAAGTGAATACTGAATTGTCATATGTTCTAGAAAACTGGGAAAGTTACAGATGAGGAAATATGCTTTGGGGACCACATTTTGAAAAAAGTATACAAGACGAGCAGATAGTGATAGGTTTATCAGTCTGCACCAGGACAAAGTGGTGGAAATATAGATACAAAATTACTAAATAAAACATTAAAATCGTCATAGTTAGTCTGAATCAGCACAGGATTATGGAAACCTGACACTTTTTAAAAAAGAGATAACAATCTTGTAAAAGTAATAATGCCCAAACAGTAGATGTCTATACAACATCTAAGTTGATTCTGCAAAGCATTTCCACTAAGTAGTTGAAATGATACATAATCATTGCAGCCAACACTCTTTAAATAATAACAGTTTTCACTGGTCTTAGTGAATAATGATAAAGGAGGAATTGTCAATACATGGAAATATTTTAGAGTTCGGCCATTTCTATTTTTAATGTGTGAAAAAGAAGCAGTAAAACCATTCAATTTGCACATGAAGACAGTTCAGGTAAGGGTAACCAAAAATTCACAATCTGGTAAGTATATATATGTATCTGCACTTCAAAATGTTGAACTTTAATAACACAGAGTTATGCTTTTATCTATGTGTGGTATAAAGGTATGGTGAAAAACAAACCCCAAGGAAGTTGTCTGGAAGAGATCTATGTATTACTGAGTAAAGAGCTCAACAATGTCAAAAGAACCAGTGGAGTTTTTGGAGAGATTATGTGAGAGCTACTTCCCACACTGAAAGAATTTATGAGGACATTTTTACTTCACTTGGATCTAACTGCTACACTTTTACTTCACTTGGATCTAACTAACCCTACAGTGATTGTGTTATTCATTAATCAAAACAGGTTTTGATTTAGACTGGAGAACTACCTAAAAAATGTGTAGCTCAAATTACCTAGGTTATGAGAAAGAAGTTTAAAAAATGCATCTGTCACAGTTGATAAGTAACAGCCCCAGGAAAAGGCACATAATAATATAGGGGTTCTACTTAGCAAATAAGAGATTACAGCATCCAACTGCTGGTAATAGAAGCTGGAGATAGCCAGAAACTAAGGGACTAGGTTTCATGAAAGTATATATCATTGGAATAACCTACCAAGAGTAGTGCTGCTACTTTGCCATTGTAACTTTTCTTCCCCATACACGCACTTCTACTTTGTTTAAGACAAGAAGGAATATACACTCTATAATAGGCTATGATGTCAGAGCTTTTTACCTGAAAGCTGACACTGCCCACTGGGAGATAATTTCGATCCTCAAGCATGCTCAGGTACTCTGCCACCAGTGCTGCAGCATGGACCAGGCACATGGCTGCTTCTGTGTAGCACTTCCTCTTGGTGTGCTTCTCTGCCATGTTCTGCAGCCAAGTCAGCCTCAAGTCTGGCGATGTCTGGTAGCCTTTTGCAATTCTAATGACACAGAGCAGAAAGGAGGTGTGAATGATCACTTGCCAAATCACAGAAATACTCTGCTGATTCTTCACCTGGGTTGAATGGACGGAGTCATCTTTGTCTTTATTCTGTATAATTCCCAAATACAAGGCAAAAGAAATGATTAGGCAGGGGAGGCAGGATGCACTGGGTCTATGGGGAGAGTAAAACCACTGCACCCAAGATTCTTTAGTATGTATCAGTTCCTGACTCTAACCCTTGCCCAAATCTATGCCCACCTCCCAATGGCTCCACTGCAATGTGCTCAATACTGCAGCCTGGGCCCTCTGTGACCGATCAGCTGTGCTAAAGAGGGGCCCATAGCTCACCCCTAAAATGCACAGTTCTTGTGCTCACCTCACTGCAGAATTTCCTGAGTAGCAATTCTAAACAGATTCACCTGTACATGAGGTCCATCAGCATCTCTGGGTCTTCCTGAAATTCCCTCATTTTCACTGTATCTGACAGGATGCTGTTCAGATTACACAGCAGTTCCTCCACCTGCAGTAATACAAAGATGAATGTGCATTTCTCAGGTGTTTATTTTTTCCTTCTGGAAAAACAACAGTATCTGCACCAGATGATGTTACTCTCTTTAAGTCTCTTTTACCCGAGAAATGTCAGAATGCTGAATTGCTACAAAAGATGCGTTTTCAGCTCTATTCAATGCAGCAACGACTGCTGACATAGCAAATCTTATGCACACATTTTAATTAATCAAAATGAGCTGATATACTTTGATCTATTTCTGAATGGAAAAAACATCAAACCTATGTGTTAATGGAGTTCAGCTTTAGCTGATCTTTGACCTGATAACAAATCAGGTATTTTTGGAAGTCTTCAGCACAAGCTGAGTTACTTTAAGACTTTTAGCAAAGCATATGACAGTTGTCTGAAGTGTTCTTCATTAACACTGCTGACACCTTATGAGTTGGCAAAGGGAAAGACGTTTCCATGATTGTACTTGTCTGGAAACACAATGAATCAAATTCCATCTTGGGAAAATCTTATAGGGCACAGTTCCTGCTGGGGTCTAGAAGAAAGCTGTACTCAAAACTAAGAGATGATTCTCCTGTAATGTAATTTCAGAGGAAATTCTCATGAGTTTATTCTATGGAATTATGTCATCCACTTCTCCCCCACTTATTGTACTAGACATAAACTTATGCAATAATCCCTGCAACCTTGGTTTTGTTGCTTTGGAAGACCAAGATCTAGAACTTGCTTCAAGCACACTTCTATGTACAAGCTCCTGGTAAAAGTCACAGATGTCATAAAAGATTTGACCTGAATGGGAAATGGAGTTGCTTGCATATCTGTATCTTCCTCTGCGTAGGCTAGGATGGTTCGTAAGGACCGTCGGAGAAATTCCTCATTAAACTCGGGTGATTTTCCAACCAGAGAGGCCAGGGACATGGTCACCTGCATCTTCACTCTTGCAAAATTCTTCCAGAAGAAGAAACAAAAACACGAAAGAATGATGGCTGCACTGCATAGTGCATATCAGTTCACATATCTGTATCTCCTGTACAAACCAAACATACGATCTCCTGCCCACACCAAGTGCATTAAACTCACCACTCATGTAACTGGTCTCTGGTGCATCAAAGCCAGTCCAGCTTTACCCAGTTAAGCCAAAGTTCCCTAATTCTGACATGTCCGTACTTTGAAGCAAGAATGTTCCTTGGAATACATATGCTTGCTTCAGACATAGAGAAGACAGAAGCACTCCCTTCCCACTTTGCACAGATCAGTAGGTGTGTAGACCAAACCACCCACAGAGAGGAAGAAGAAGCATGACTGGGAAAACCCTCTGGAAACAAGTCTGGGAAGCAAAAGGCCTCTGAGGGCTTCAACCAATGATGCACTACACCTTGCTGATCATGGTGTCTCAGCAGTACATTTTCTTTCTTCAAAGCTAACACTTTTTAGATATTCCAGGCTTCTAAAGTAACAGCTAGTGAAGGAAATGCTGTGCAAGATCAGATGCTATCCAAAATGCTAATGCATGTCCCTTTGTGCTAGAACATTATGCACATAGATGCATATGTAAAAATTGGAGCCTAATCCTAAGACCAAGGAGCTGGTGAAGAATTCCCATTACTACAAATTTACAGGGGGCTCTACTGAGGTTGTAATTACATTAGAATAGAGCTAGGCTGAGTAGTTCTGATACAGGAGTGAAAAAAACTGACAAAATGAAGAGTATTGTTTATGCATTGTGTAGTCTTTGCTGTCAGAGGTTCAATGCTGTTCCATTTGAAGCTGCATGTACAAATGTTGCAGAAAAAGTCACATTTTCCTAAATAAAATAATGACCAGTAATTAAAACTACTATCCCCTTACACTTTTAGCACTTCTCCTGGCTCAAATGTGTGAAACAGCAGAACACATGGCTGTTTATCTGCAGATGTGTTGTGTGTGCTGTCACAACTTCAGTTTCTGTTTCAACTGGTCACAAAAAAAGGTGGCACAAACTATACTGCTGTTCTCAACATCTTACACTGGTAGAGCTGAAGCTGTATCTCATGAGGAGATATAGAGTGGCACAGGCTTGAGTCCGTGTAATGTCTATGCTGCTGCTGCAGTGATGGAGAACTCTTTGACACAGGTCAGCACACTGTTCAACCTCCTCTTCAAACAGCAAATCTCCAAACTAAGGGAGACAGAGAAGAAAATATTCATTACTCTCATTTCTAGCCATTAAAACATCATTAGCTTAGTACACAAAAATCACAGGATTCAGAAGATTAAAGTTTTCAAAAAGATACATTTTAGATATTTTTATTTTCTGATTTCTGTGATACTGTAGGTTCCATTTTTAAGCTTTTCAACAGGAAAGAAATGTTTGAAAACAGTCTTTGTGTTTTGAAAAGAGAAAGAGGGAATAAAAACATTTCTCAGAGTGCAATGGCTCCAAGAGCCTTCGAAAACATCAAACATTGCAAAATTCTTAGAAGCATGGAGAATTGCTATTTTCAGAATAGATAACAGTTGATGAAACATGCAAATACTTCCTTAACACATGGAGCAATTACTAACTCCTTGCACCAACGTCCTACCCAGGCCTCCAGTGTGTTCTTCCTCCTACGGTGTGTCATAAAACTTCCACTGCCCAAATTTCATGCCAGACTCTTCTTTACAGTGTCTTCACAATGCACATAGCAGATAATAAACTCAGAAGGCAGGATGTCTGTCCCAAGAAACTCTCACCATAGACAGCATAGATGCACTAGTACCATATGTACATACATAGGACTGATAAAGGTGTGTCAGTGAATACAAGATATTTTTTCTCATTTGCAGACCCATTTCCCAGTTCTCAGTCTTTCTTCAGTCCATTATCTCACTGCTTTATGTCTAATTTATATTATGAGCATGTTGGCACAAGGTTTTATCTTTTTTATTTGTAAAATAACATCTATAGGCTTACAGTGTAATAGAAATAACTGCAATGATTGCTTCAGAAAATACAGAACTGAGTCAGCTCAACTAGAAGATCTGTTTCAATGACAATAATGATTGCTTCACAAAATTCATTATTATAATTGGAAGTTGACTTTCAAAGATAAAGTACAATGAAAACATAATTATTAGTTTCATAACTACTCAGATACCTACCCTGTAATTAGGCTTTGTCAGCCAATCTGCATTTAAGAGCAGACAGGCATTAACTGGACAAGAGTATCCTGTTTCTTATTTGCACTTTAGAATAGTTTAGGGGAAAATACACATTTCATGGATTCTTCCTTTGTGGAACTGCTTTTCTTTGTAGGAGAACTAATTTTAAAAAGATTTTAGAGTCCTAATGAAGCACCCAAACCATTATGAACCACATTATAAAAATGTTGAGTCAATTTCTGCCCTCATATACATTTTGAAGTTTGTGGAGTTTTTTATTGGTGATACAGAAATGAAGGGGAGATTAGGATTAGTTTAGTTTTCAGGCAGAACAAAGATGAAATCTGCCAGCATCTTTGAATCTACTTAGAATTTTAGAACCTCTCTTAAAAGTAGAAACCTAGAATGATTCCCCTTGATCTTTGATGAGCTTTGATTTCTCTGCTGACCAACTGGCTGGAAGCTAGTCCTGATGATATAATAATTTAAATCTTTATGGAAACCATGCAAACCCTAGCATTAAGATTTCTAAGTAAAATCAGAATGTATTTACAATATAATGGGTGGAATCTTTTGCCTTTTTATTAGTAAGTCTTCTGTGTTTAAGAGTACGATGCTAGAACCACAAGGTTGTTCAGATTCAGTTATTCCATCTTGTGTGATCAATGAAATAACCTTGTAACAGCTGTAGAAATCCTATAACAACCGTACAGACAGACATTTATATTTCCATATGCAAAATATCTTTAATGAATGCCAAAGAAAAGCACTAAGTGTATGCACACAGCTCTGCACTAGAAATGTTGCTCTAATAATTTGACTGGAAGCATGAAAACAAAAATATGTCACGAGCATACCTTGGCAATGAGTGCTCTCAGTGTAGCAAAGCAATGAGTCAGGTAAGTGGTGCTTTGATCATAGCCAAGAGAATTTACCAGGACCTTCAAAACTCCTCCCAAAAGATTGTCTCTGCACTCTGCTGCAAAACTTGCCTACAGATGAAAGAGAAAAACAGTAACTGCATGAAGTAATTCAGTAATGAACTAGCACATAGGAACTGAAGTTTTGCTCTCCTGTCTATGATACATTCAGGAGTTCAGAATTTGTAGTTTTTCTCATTTGTTACCATCTGCTTCAGAGGATTTTCAAAACGGTTTTGTAGTGATCAGCAAGACAGAGAGGAAAATGTCCCAAACATTTCTCAATTTGGGACATGGACCCTCCGATGCATTTTAAGCTCAACCACCTTCTGCAGTTATTCCTGAAGCTCTGTTCATGTTCTGTCCAATCCTTCATGTACTTTGGATTAGGAACTGATCCTGTGGTGGGCAAGCACAATCCCTTCCCTTGCCTCCTCATGCTCTGATTTCCTGGCATATAGGCTAAATAGACATACTGGCATAGTCTGATCAAACACACAACCCAAATAGTGGGCAGTCTAGGTGCTACAGTGGTGCCATATGAAAATAATGGCCAGTACAATAAAAGTCGAGTAGCTAAGTGCTTTTATACTAACAGGCTTTCAAGCATGAAGTTCTCTCCTCATTAAGTATGTTGCTCCAACAGTAGTATTCTCATACCCATGAATTTGGATTGCCTCTCCTAAACCAGATCATGTCTAAGCAGAGCCAACTATCACAGTTCCACTGCTGTCAAAGGACCCATGAAATTTTACTGCATCTGACTTCCAACAGTTAAATAATTTCTGCGTATTACATTGCTTTAACGGGGCACATCTCTTTCCAGAAGGACTCCAGGCAGGCGGCAGATACATTCCTGCACTGAGCACTCTGTGGGAGTCAAGGCTAAATCCTTTTGTCTCACAGGATCATACATGCTAGTATGATCAAAGGCCATCCAGCAGTTCAGTTCCAAATTACTAGTATCTTCAGCTACATTCCTGGCATAAATGAACAGTTTTCTTTCCTTATCCTCATCAAACTCCAGGAGCATAGTAAGACAGTGGAAGTGGATTTCAAAAACATCTACTGAAGACAAGGTCATACATTTCCCTTTCATTCACAGTAATGCAGGATCTATAGTAGAAGGGGCTTGCAGCAACTGCATAAGACAGGCAGTAATTTAAACCTTGGATTCATTCTTCTTCATCTTTTTTTTCTCTTCAAGACTATGCAAGTTTACAGGGAATCTCAAATTAAAACATTTTGCACTGTCTAAGAAACAGAAGATTGAAATTAATCTTGCTTCCAGTGGCTTCTGAGGGATCAGGGATTAGTACCAAGTCAGCCCTGCTGTCTCCCACCTGGATGATGTTCTCTTGCATATCAAGAATGATCAGATTAGCTTCAGTTGCCAAGTTTCCGCTTATCAGAGCTTCTTGATCTAGCTCAGCTTTTGTCCTGCAAAACGGAGTTCTAATTAAAGTATGCAGAGAGTACCCCAAGAGTTAGATGACCTGCTGTTTAAACAAAGCCAAAATACAAATGATATCATTCTGAATGATCCCATAAGAGCAAACAATGTGTTTCTCAAATAGTATGGAGTCAAATGAGGAGAACTGATATCACAGAAGAGAAGTCCCAAAGGGGACATCAGAAAACTAGGTCTCTAGATAGTTCAAATACATGCTCCTGCTTCCTTAATAGTGATCTACATAATGGTTACTCAGGATCATGTTCAATTGTTCAATAAACTATTCTGTTATTTTTGAATGCATTGCCTGTAGCAGGACAAAAAAAACCCGTCTCAAAATGGAATAAGGGGTAGGTAATTGATCTGATAATTCCAGGGGAAAAAAAAGTAAAATTGACTGATCCAAGCAAAGTGGAAATTGCTTCAGTGCTGTAGAAGCAGTGTTTACGGTAGATAATTTAAAATGTTGACTCTTGAGACGGTGGACAACATAAGACACCAGGTCCGCTGGTATCAATACAGCAGTGCCCCAATCCATTTAAGAGAGAACTGAAATATTTATAAAAGATCAAAGGTGGTGGTAAGGCAATGCATGATACCTCCTTAGTTGAGACTTAAGGACAAGATCTAGAGATGAATAGTGTAACCACAGGTGCAGCTCCTAGCAGAAGTGCATTTTGAGACACCCCTTCTATGCCAGATACACAAAAGAGGCGTTGTTCTTTTTCCTAAACAGCTCAGAAAAGTGCTGTTGCCAGGCCAGAAGTTGCTCTCTAGAGCCTGAGATCCTCTGACTTGGGACAAAGTTCCTAAGGTGCATTTGTGTGGCTGGAGCAACACCCTTACAATCACACTTCTGAGTGACTTCAAAATCTGGAGCTGCTCTGCTATGGTCATTTACCCAAAAGTAAAACCAGAACAGTACAGAGCCATCCTTTTGGGCAAAACCAGATAATTCCGGGGAGGGCTAGGAAAGGAAGTCAGGCCAATCATATGGTTATTAATTACAATGACACAAAGCAACAAAGAACAGAAGGGTCTGCCAAAAGGTTGGTGCTATAATCAAGCCAGAGATCACTAAATATGAGTAAGAACTGGACAAATTTACTGAACAGTATAGCTGTTTGAACCATTTCTAGTAACCAATGAGCCTTGCACATTAACCTTGGTGACTGGATCCTCTCTGACATGACATGTAGTTTATAACTGCTACAATCCCAAATCTTCTCTGACTCCTGCAAACAGCTTTTCTCGATAGTTACATAGCATGCCAAACCCAGCTTGTATATACTGTATATAGTGAGGTGCCAATAGCAACACCAAAATAAATGCCGTAGCAAGCCTCTGTGGAGTATTTGATACAACTTGGATCACTTACTAGTGTTTACCACCCTGTTAATAAGAAGGAAAAAATGTGTAGATGACTATTTAAACTTCTCATTCAAGTGTTTGTGACTTCTTTGTTGTATCATAGCAACAGCTGCACGCTTCCGCTACATAAATATTTTCTATTTCTTTATCTTTGGAAGTCCAGGGAAAGGACTGAAACTGCTGAGTTTGTAATAAAACATTGTAATAAATGTTGCAAACACTCTAGAAGAAAGAACAAATTATAAAAAACCCTATACAGCTTAGCTCTAATAAAACCCATATATATTTGTTAAATTACTTACTTATCTTGTCTCTCATTTGCCTGCCGCCAGTGAGTCTGCTCCTTTCTCCAGCGCAGGTTTTCATTTAGTCCTGCTGATCTGTCATTCCCTAAGAGTGCAGTGTATGTCAGTGAGATTAAAGCAAAGGAGGATACCTGAAGTCTGATAGATATATTTCTGTAGCAGTCCTTCAGAACTAAAACCATTCAACCCTACAGCCTCAGGGCTCCAGTAAAAAGACAGGACCCCATCACTTTTTAAATGCAGGATTTTCAGAATATTAACTTGCTTGGTGTCTTCAAAAAGAAAACCACAAATTATTCCATTTATTAAATGGAAACAACATTTTTTGTGCAATGAGCAACTTGTTCTTACTGGTAGTTCTGACACCATTTCTTGGCTCTTGATTAGACACTAAAACGATTTCTCAGAACATCTTAAAACTTCTTTGTTTGCCTCATATTCTTCACATGAGAAGAGCTCAGTCCTAGCTACATCTTGGATGGTTGAAAGTTAATGATATTTTCATCCAAGAGTGTCTTGTAAGGAAAAGTTCCTCTCAAAAGGCATGGGGGAAGAGGAGTATGAAGTACCTGCTGGTATTCTGCAGCGCTTCATCATTTCTCCTCTGGCTCCTTCACCTCTCAGTAAAGCTTCTTCTAATCGAGCTTTAACATCTCGTGACTTCTGGAGTGCTTGAGTGCTAACCTTATCTGAGCTTTGCTTGCCCTGCAAGTAAAGTCAAAGCAATCATCATCAATACCCCCATCTTTGGACATGAGTCCAAATTACATCTTCAGAATGAGACACAACAAGAGAGACCTGTAGAGGAGGCAGAAAGCAATGAATATGATTGACTAATTATTCCAGGGATCAACGATTTCGAGGTAACGGGACAGACATACACACTGAGGTAGTAAATTCAAAGTGATTTATTCCACCTACGTATATGCGTGCCTTTACAAAAAGAATATAACGTCTACTACCTTATAAGGGAAAAGTTATGTCCCTAACAATTAAGAGTACATAACAACCCCAAGAGTGATGAGATGATTTTTTTTTCCCCATTCTGGGGCGGGCAGCAGGCACAGAAGCTTAGCAGGCACCCTTGTGGAGGCAACGTGGTCCTTGAGTTCTGGTGGGCCCACCGAGAAGGTGTGTGTGGCCTTCTATATCATAATTTTGCAGTGTCATCCTGACATGACTGGTACATGACAGGATGAGATGGATCCAAATTTGTGGGGGCATCAACATGCCTTTGGTCACATATGTTTTGTGGCTCTACGCATATGTGCGGAGGCTAAGGGGGTCATCAGCCTCCTTTGGGGCTCATTACTTCCTCGCCCTTCCTCATCATCACCTCTAAGCATCCTTGACAGGCTGTTTGGTAGTCAGTCAAGGCTGATTATCCTTTTATTTTCCTTAGCTGAAGTTTTCTTATCACTACTTACTCCTTCTTCACTCCAGTCCCACTGTAGAGCTGCACTTGCTTAGTTTTATGTTCAGTTGACATGGCCTGCTGCAGACCACCTCCATTAATAAGTGTCTTCGGACACACTAATGTATAAAGGCTCATAAATGTTGTGAATGAGGAAAGAAGTAGTATATGTACTGCTAATAGACACAAAGATGTAGCTCAGTACTACGGAGAGAGAAATTAAAGTTCAGAGAGAAGGTTATTTGACCCATTTCAGATAGACCCTGTCAGAGAGGAGAGTCTTGACTCTAAGTTCCAGTTCTTAACTAAAGGGTCATCCTTAGTGTCCTGCCAGTACTTCCAGAAGCTGTACTGCCCACCAAATATAGCCCTCAAATGCCCAGGTAAAGGAAAATAACGAAACAGTTTAAGACAACTTCATAGGACTTCCTCAAAGGTTTTGGCTGCATTTTGCTTGAAGGCTAGTGTCAGCTATTTTATCTGAATTAATTTGTCCATTTGTAGCATAGATTGGAAAACTGCTAATTTAAGCATTGTTGATGATACATTTCCCCTGGACAGCTGGAAGGTAAAGAAAAAAACTGAACCAAAGCAGGGCAACCAAACCAAGCCATGCTTCACTTACCTTGTACTCAAAGCATGAGACACAAATGAAGAGGAGGTCTAAAATTCTGTTCAACTGCATGGATGGAAGGTCTGCAATCCATTTCTGTATTAGATTCTGATCAGCATTTTTCATGATCCAGAGGAAACAGATCAAAAGATTGCGAGTTGTATCAGGACCTAATGTGGCACTCTGTCTGTAGGGCTAGGAGCAGATAAAGTAAATGTCACTTAAAGAAGGAAAAGGAGACGAAAGACATTCAGGTGAAGTAATGTTATTTAAAATTCAGCAAAATCAAATCTCAGGACTGGGCATCAGTAAGTTTAAACTCTTCCAGGTCATACTTCTGGTATTTTTTGAATGTATGTGTAATTGGTGAAAGGGCCAGTTGAATGCATGTGAAAGACAGAGAGAAGTATAAGAGACTTGTTTGCTAGATGCTAGTACTTTAACTTCCTTGGAAGAGTGTAGAAAAGATTCCACAGGTTCTTTTACAACCTATAAAGGGGTCCCTTCTGCCATGCGCTTGTGCCAGCCAAATTGCATAGAAGATAAATACAACCATCAGGAAAGAGAGAGAGACAAGAAGAAGGGTCTGAGTCCTAGGTCCATAGACTCATGTGAGGCTGGAATTGGGAGGCAGCAGGGGAGTCACAGTGGCATTTGCTGATCTAGAAATGAATCTCAGTTAGGTGTGGAAATGGAAATAGGCATATGGGAGAAGAAGACAACTACACAAGGAGTAACTAAATGATTAGAACAGAAGAGGAGGAGATGACTGGAGGAATATGAGGGATTTTTTAGTTCGGAGGAAACAAGAATGCAGTTTCTTATGGCTGTAGTTATTAGTGGCAAGAAAGAATAAAAGGAAAAAACAAAGAAAGAGGAAAACAGATACAAGAAAGGAGACTGGCAGAGCAGTGAACATACCAGGGACAATGGAGATATTCCGGAGTTCCTGAGGTTGAATTGATTCCCTGCAATGGCAAGGGCCACATTTTGGTTTATTGCACCTGCAGACTCTTGTTCTTCTTCTGGGTTTCCTGTTCGTCCCTTTCCACTGCGGGTATCTGAAACTAGATTTGAAATATCCCATTGGAACTTCAGGGCCAAAACAGCTGTTGCAGTTCACGTCACCATTTTCCATTGGTCTGTAACCTAACAAAACAATTGCAACCTCCATCCCTGAGACTGTTGGTCTGGCTGATGACCCAAGCAGTAAAAGAGGCAGAGTGCTGGTAAGGCAGAGTGCAGCCATCTGCAAAGACTGCCAAATTATTCAAATGAATAAAAGGTGGTAGCAAACATGGGATTGTCTCTGAAGTTCAAAGCTAAGCCAGTGCTTTCTAAGACTTGGAATCATTCAGTTCCAGTTCATTTCAGACAAGAGGATAAACTCCAAAAGCCATACATGGATTTGCTGATATTCAACCAAGTATGTAAGTCTGCTAAGAGCTGACAGAGCCAGTATTGCCTGCTGACTAAAGAACAAGTTTAATTTCAGGCATCAATAGCTGCTTCTAGTCCCTGCTAGCTCTTGACATCACTTTCAGCAAATAAAGTTATTCATACCTAAGTTTTATAAAAGTCTCCTCTGATTCTGAGCATCCATTTTGTGTTTTGAAAGTCATGTTTTTCAGAGAAACTGAGTGACTAGATGGACATCGTGTGCTCAGAACGAGATCAACTGCCTCTTATGACAGATACCCAAAAATAAAGACACTCTAAAACCTAGTCATACTGGTATACCTGGGCTTCCTCACAATGACTCTTTTCATCTGTGGTATAAGAGTAATACTTACATCAGAAGAATGGTGTGAGATCCAATTAGCCAATGTATAGCAAATGCTTTCACCTTATCAAACTGAAAGTGCTAAATAATACTTTCATAGTATCACAGTTTTTATTCAGTCATCTAAATACAAAATATTTTCAGAGTGAGAGACAAAAATAAATTCTTCCAATATTACAGCTTCAATAAATTAGTTTTGGTATCACGTTAATAGCACCGAAGAGCAATAGAAAAAGAAACAAAGAATACAATCCAATTTCTTTAATTGTGATGTAACAGGATGTCAGCATCACTCTTGTTTTCTTCCCTACTTCTGTTAAGCCCATCTAGTTCTCAATATTTCTTGCAGACCTTGCAGGCTTTATTTGCAAGATCATAAAGCTTACATTAAGAGATAAACAGGAGTACTTAGACATATAACTCTGGTGCACCACTTGCTCATGAAGTGAGGGCACTAAAGTTTTTCCTGTCTGTAAAAATCCAGTTTACTTCTAAGCAAATAAGGATTCAACCTTATTAGACCATAGGGAATTTCTGCACTTAGCATGATCTCTTTTATGTTTGATATACTGTTTAGACAAGTCACTCTAAGAAGCTGAAAAATTCAAAGGGAGAAAGGTCTTACTTGTAAAATCATGGAGTTGCGGTAGTGAATCCAAAATGATACCAACCAAAGGGAGGTAAAGAGCTGCAATTTTAATCTTCACCTCTTTTTTGGAGCAACGTGGGTCTAGGTCATGGCAACTCAGCAGACTAAGGATAGCACTTACAGCTTTTCTTTGTACCTTGCTAATCCTGTTAACATAGAAACCATCCATGAGCTGCATTTATGTGTCATGCACAAATCACTTATAAATCAAAGATTTAATAAACACAGTAGAGGTGAAAGAAACAAATTAATACACCAATATTCATTGGATAATCTCTTCCATTCTGAGCAGAGATTCATGTTCCCTGCAAACGATAGGTATCTTAAATCTTCAAGCCACTTTACCACAATCAAAGAGCACCCAAGTCTTTCAAACTTCCCATCAAACTCTGACCAAAGTTTAGCTAAGCCCTTGATCTCAGATGAAGGCAGATGCATTTTAGAGAGAAACACAACTGAAATTTTGTGTTCTCAGTTCCTGTATGTATCAAACACTACCACAACCAATCGTATATTTTTATTCACGAGGAGCAACATATTGCAGATAAAACAATGACTGGGTCATTGCTATGTTACAGAGTGACTCACTTAAAAGAGTGAGGAAAACATGACAGCCCTGGAATCAAACAATGACTTTGCCAAGAGTAACAGTGTGACTCAATCCCATTCTGAAATCTACAAATTGGGATACACACCCCTCGCTGTCTGCATCCAGTGCTGCTGCCAATTCAGTGAAAAGCAAGCCAGTCAGAAAGTGTTGTTGACGGTATTCAGCTGAGAGGTCAAACATACCAGTGATTTTCTGGTCCTGGAAACTAGAGCAGGAGCTGGAGTTCTGCAAAAGTATATTAGAAGTGTTAAAGAATGATCACCAAAATCAAAGCTTCTTGCTTTGCCACTGTCCATGTAGCTAACAGAGGAAAACCACAGACCTTAAGAGAAGGTTGGACATTTTGGAGGAAAATATCTGAGTGTGAAATAAAAAGCATCTAATTTCAAATGAGTTGCTTGCTAGAATGCAATCTCATCCTTTCCACTCTCTGCTCGTTAGATGTTTTTTTGAGATGTAAAATTCCAATCCTGTATTCATTAGTTTGGATAGGACACAAAGTTAAAATTTTCTCCATGTTTACAATTCTAAACATGGGTCTTACGGTTTCAGAGCATCCATTGGGCATCATACAGCAAGAGGCTACCTCAACATTAAGAGGAACTTTGGTGTCAGAGGCTCTGCACTGTGCCTTCTTGAGCATCCATGATGTCTAGCAAGGAAGTAAGGTCAGGAAAGACATGTGAACAGTGTTTCCTTTCACCCTGGAAATCCTTGGCTGAGCTTGCTGGCAGCTGGCATAATTTAGAGCAGCCTTCAAACTGCTGTAACTTATGGCTATGACTGATATACAGCCAGTCCAGGAATGGAAAGTTGCTGCTATGTATGTGTTGTGAACCTCTCAGCTTCTCCAATCATAGGTGTGTGCCACAGGTCACCTGGAATGTTTTTGTCCCCTGGTCAGGTAGGCATAAATCTTAGACTCTACTCCCCAGTGCAGCTACTGGTTTTATGAGTTCAAATTCTTGCT